CAGGGTGGAGGTGGGGGAGTTGGGACACACTTGTAGGACAAAAATAGTGACAGGATGGTCACTGTCTGCCCACTGCCTACAAGGATAGACTTTTCCAGTACATTCAGAGTGTTTGTACATGTGGTTCCATGGAAGGTTCTCAGACAGAGAAGTACAGAATGTCAAGATGAACAGTTAGATCTGAGGGATGCTAAAGGAAGTCTGTTATACTAGTTTGTTCCAAACAAGGGTAAATGAACATATCTTAAGCATAAAAGAAACCAGACGGTTACCCTAAACAGAGTGAAGGATAATTAAAAGATCAATTTTATGCAAAAGTTATTACATGCCGCGTACACTTCATACACTGTTTGATCGAATGCTCACAGACTTTGAACTTGGCCAGCATTATTATACACCTTGCAAGACATGGGACTTCCCAGAAGCACAATTGATACAGGGTGGAGCCAGTTCTCCAACACCGATGGTCTGTGTCAATAATCTCAGTCATAAAGCTCTGGTTAGTCAGCTGTGCTGGTCATCTGAGTTACTGAGATCCAGTAGCCAAGCATGACTTGCTGCCATACTCACCACTGCTGCTCCATCCACACATGGACAATCCCGCATGGTGCATATGGACAACATAGCAGCCACCCTATCACCAGTAAAACCATCCTCATTTCTGAAATTACAATCTTTCAGCCACTCTCTTTGATCATTCACAGCTTGAACTCATCAAGTCACAACTCTGTTCCCCACTCAGCACTGCTCCTGAGATGGACTCTGGTATGATTCATGTGTATCCCTTCAGGGAGAACACAGTGATGTTTGTCAAGGGGAAGGAACCCATTTTTCATATGTCTCAGAATTAAATGCCATTGCTGAACTCTCTACCTTCATCTCATCTTCCTCTGCTGGCTCAACACCCTTGAAGCTTCTGCTGCTCAAACAGCCACATAACAGGTCATCATAGCACAGATAGAAAAGGCAAATTACTTTTGCCATAATGTGAGCACTGAGACCCCTGCTGAGCCATTTTGAAGATGGAGATAACTTCCCTGATAATATAGTCCTACCCAAGTCCCTTAGAGCTCCATTCTCCTACATTTATACTGGTGGGTTATGCTTCACCACAAAAAACTTCATCCCTATCCACTAGTGGCCTCTCCTTTCTTCATCTTGCTTAGGTTCCAGGTAAGACTTGCCACTCTTCCATACTAAGTAGGGAGTATATACATCTTCTCTTAATTTTTCTTTTGTTTCCCCAAGTGAGAATTGTGACCCCACTAGTTCATGAGTGTCTACAGCAGCTCCCTCCTCAGGACTCTTCCTGTTCTGTGGGTAGATCAGAGCCCCTGTGCTTACTTCTCTTCCTAGGCAAGATTCTGGAGTCTGGTAGAAGCCTATTCCATTTCACCTCTGCCCAGACACAGGACAACTTTGAAGAATTAGTGTGTGAATTTGTGAGCTGGGAAATATTGTTAACATACTACCAATAAAGTACCAGAACTCCCCAGCAAAAGAATCTTTGGTACAGCTCAGTGTAGAGAAAAACTTCTGACTACAGAAGCTTTGACCATTTCCTTTTTCTAAAACAAAATTAAAAAATATTCATTGAGTATTTCATACATGCAGACAATGTACTTTATTCATATTATTCCTTTCACTTTCCAAATCCTCCCAGGTCCCTTATCTCCATCCCTTTCCCAACTTCATGTCTTCTTTTGTTTTGTGTTTTCTTTTTCTCTGAGTCTGATTCATGCTACTATAGGTGTGAGTGTGGGGCCATCTACTAGAACACAGTTGACCTACCAGGGTCCACATGCCTTAAGAAAACTGATTCTTCCTTACTTAATAGCCACCAAATGTCAAAAGTTCCTCAGCTAGTGATGGGTGCTCATGAGCTTTCTAATTCATGCTGGATTGTTGATTGGCCTAATTTTGTGCAGGTTTTGTGTGGCAGTCACATCTGTCATGAGTTCATGAATGTAGCAGTTTTGTTACATCCAGAAGATACTGTTTTGTCCAGTCTTTCCTAGTTTCTGGCTCTTACAATCTTTTTGTCCACTCTTCAATAATGTTCCCTGAGCTCCATTTATGCTAAACACTCCATATACACTTATTCTCCACACTTTGACTAGTTATGAGTCTCTGTACACTGAACAAAGACACTTCTTGATGAGGACTGAGAGGTGCACTAATCAATGGGTGTTCTATCAGCTTATAGACTAGAGATATATATTTAGGAGACAGTTTGATACTATGTCTATTTAGCAAAATATAGTAGTAGATTCACATTATGAGATCCCCAGTCACATGTTTTTAGCCAGATTTATAGTAATAGGCATGCATTTCCCTATGTAGGTAAGGATTAAATCCAATTTATTAAAGAGTAATTGGTTACTGCCATAACATTTGTATCACTGTTATACCCCTGGAGGTATCTTTCTAGGCTACTCATTATATCTCAGTCATTATTATATCTCACAGCATCAACATCTTGGTAAGACTGTTGATGGCTTTTCTCCCTAAACAGCCTGCACAGTACCTTCTGATATGAGGTAGCAGGGAGAAAGCTTCTAGGTCAACACCAACATGATTTTTCCAGGTGCTGTGATCAGTGTGTAGTGTCTTAAGAAATAGGATCTTACCACAAAGCTCTGGTGAATAATCAACAGCAATATCAATAGCCTAAATTATTTTGGAAGATATCTGAATGTCCCCAAACCAACAACTCGAAGGGAGAGTCCCACAGTTGGCACTGGGCTTTTATTTGGCAACCTATAACTTCTAGGAGTAACACTATTCCCCATATAGGGTAGTACCAGAAATACAAATACTTCATGTTCCTGTGTGTTCTCTCTCAAGGAGATCCCAGTGTTACAAAAGCCCACACTTTCATTATATAAACATACATATACACATATGTTTAAGTAGAGTTACCATTTCCTTTTTACATAACCCAAATGCTTACTCTTCATGTAAATTTCAGAAATGCTTTTTTCCATGGTAAAAATGGGGAAGCTGGGGCCCAGGAATTATCACTAGTCTAAGAACAAAATAGGGTCTGCATCTGTCAATGAACAGACTATGATTATTCCAGCCACCTTGCCCCACCCTCCCAGTCCTCTACTTTTTTCCATACAGACAGCCTAATTCCTTTTAGCTATCTAAATCTGACCCAAGCTGACTTACCTTTTTTCTGACATCCTGAAAAAAGCCTGCTGTCCCCCTCTTGGTTCTTTGGATGTGACTCATGTTTTGGTCTTCCTTCAATTTCATGTCCTTCCTCTCCTGAGCCCCAAGCCTGTTTCTTCCTTCGGGCCTTTGGTATTGTATTTCCTTACTTCATCCCTTTTGCCTGTCCAGCTCCTCCTTATTATTAAGGAATCAGCTCAATGCCATGTCTATGTATTCCTTTCTCATGAGATGTTTGAGTAGAAACTCTGCTCCTGACCTGTAACTGAACATGATAGCAGTGTCTTTGTAGCATGCCTTATTATTGAAAATGATTTTGTCCTAGTTTCTAAACTTCTTTATTATCCTTTTTATTAGTAGTCCTTCCTATGACAGGTACCTAAAACAAGTAATTTACAATCTTTATACACACTTTCAGAGACTAGTCTATGGACAACTGTTTCATGACTTTCAGGTCTATGACAAGGCAGAAGCAGCATGGCAGAAATGGAGGGAGCTGCATACCCCATGGTGGTCAGAAGCAGAGTGACATAGGAAGAGTCTGGGGACAAAATATATATTCTTCAATGACACTCATACCCAGTTACCTGACTTTATCACCCAGGCCCAACCCAACCTTATAGTTTTTATCACCTCCCAACAATACCACCAAAAATTTGACTCCATGGAAAGGTTAATCCATTGGTTAGATCAGGGGTCCTACGATTTGTGATACATTCACCTCTACAGATCATCACCATGTGGGAAACAAGACTTCAACTCCTGATTCTTTTGGGGATACATCACCCCTTAGCTACCCTTATGTGATAAGTCTGTGGAGACGAAGCCCACTCTGCTCTACTCTCTGCAACCCTGCAGCAGCTATCTGTTACATAAATGCTTATTACTGAGCAAGCCAATTCAAATTCCATAACTTACACTCTCCTCTCCTACCTCCTTGGTCACTGGGTGTTCTAAAAGGAGACATGGAAGAACAGACATTCACCCCTTTAGAGACTCTACACAAGCTTTCATGTTATCCAGGTTCAATCCTGGGATGTTATCACTGAATACTTCTCCCAGCCATCCTGTACTCAGTGAGCTTCTGTGGTGTTCTCTTTGCTAGTGTGACTTGGTGCCCTTGTCATGGATGAACTGTCCTCCTACATGACCAGCAATGACAATGTGGCCAGTGTAGAAATTCCTTTTGGTATCTTGTCTCACTCTTTGAAAATGCATGACTATGCTGATTCTTGAGAAAGGAAGGATCTAAAATCAGATGTGCAGATACCTGGCTTGGTGCCTCCATGAGACTTGAATGCAACAGATTGCCAGATAGAGTTTTAAAAACTTTAACCACAGGCAAGTACCTCAGTATTTGTGGACTTTGTCTACACTGAATGGAATCATGTAAAAATGGACATGCTTGGGCTGGAGAGATGGCTCAGAGGTTAAGAGCATTGAATGCTCTTTCAGAGGTCCTGAGTTCAATTCCCAGCATCCACATGGTGGCTCACAACCATCTGTAATGAGATCTGGTGCCCTCTTCTGTATACACAATTAAAAAAAAAGTGTGCTTAAAAAAAAAATGGACATGCTCTCACATCCTTGGTTTGCAGTTCCCCTCTACTGCATATTGCAAGGGTAAGACTTTGGAGTCAGAATCTAGGCTACACTTTCTCAAATTCCTCATGGAGCTTCAATTGGCAGCCATTACAGGTGAAGTGGAATGCAAGTCATGGCGATTTCTTCCTCAAACTCTTTCAGAGTAGGTGATGGGCCAGAGACATACGAGAAGAAAAAATGTGAATTAAATTTCAATAGCACCTAAAGAGAAACTCCTCTCTTCTCTGTTGTAGGACATCATTGTTCCACAACAGGAGTTTGTGGGTTTGAGGCTGGAAGAAGGGTTTTAGGGTGGAATTCAGGACACCACTGACTAGAGAGCAGGACCTCTTCCAGATGCATCTTGTGCTGCAGCAATGTGGCTCATGTTCTCACAGCTCTGCATTGGTTTGTATTCCAGTTAAGTTCTTGACAGGGTGAAGTCTTGGATATTTTTTCCTTCTACAAAGAAGAAATGTGTTTGACTTCTCGATGAATCTCTAGCTGAGAGAAAAAACAAGGCTATTAGGTATCAGCAGAGTTGTTTACAATAAAGTCAGGGTCTGCCTCCATTCTTATTCAAGGGACACTGAAAGAGATGTCTCCCTGAGCCAGAGAGGCATCATATCTGTGTTTTGTGTTCCAAGCTTAGGTTGAGAGATATAAAAACAATCAAATAATGCTTAGCACATTGTGGCCACGGCAGTTAATATAAATACTTGTTCTAGAGATGAGTCAATAAATGAATCCATTAGTGACTGCATAAGTAGATAAACGGGTTGATACATCTCAAAGTACATGCATATTATTTACTGGCTTTGCACTCAGATGAGATCAGATGTTTGGCCTTGAGAAGATCAGTAAAGACTCGGTTTATACAAAAGTTATTTAATGACTTTTTCATTCTGTCTGTGTGTTTCAGGTTTTGACAGAATTTCTTTGGTGTATAATTTTCTTTTATTTTTAAATGCAAGACTCCATCAATGTACACACTTTAGCATTGGAAGCCCTAGCTGGGGACTTTAGAAGAAGCATTCTATTGTTTGTGATGCTGTGTCAGTGTGGTAAAATGTTAATTTTAACTTTGAGGTTGTGTCATTTAGATTCAATGTCATCCTGCTCCTTCTTAACTATGTGTCTTGGAGGAAATTATTATTCTTTGTGACCTTTTGTTTTTTTGTTAGAGGAATGAAGTGATGATGGTAATAACTATTTCAGATATAATGAAGATCAAAAATGATAATTCATGCAAAGAATCCAGCAAGTGCTACCATCATTGCAGTGAATAGGGCACATGAATATGGTAGCTATGATTAGAGTTCACTAACTCATTAAACAGTTAAATCTGAAGTGTATTTACATATATTTAATAATTTATGTATTTGTGTTAAAGATGAACATCTTGGGAAACATTGCAAGATCTCTTTTATGCTTTTTGGTTTTTGTCTATTTGACTCAACCTAAAGACATCTGGGAAGAAGGAACTTTAACTGAGAAAATGCCACCATCAGATTGGATAGTTGATAATTCTGTGGTGGATTTTCTTGATTGATGGGGGAGGGTCCAGACTACTGTGGGTAGTGCCACCCCAAGGAAGGTGGTCCTGGGTTGTATGTAAAAGCAAGCCTAGCAAGCAATGAGAACAGGGTAGTAAGAAGCATTCCTCTGTGATCTTTGCTTCAGTTCCTGCCTCCAGATTCTTGTCTTTACTCCCTTCCTCACCTTTCCTCAATGGTAGACTGTGACAAAGTAGTATAAGCCAAATAAACCCTTTCTTCTCCAAGTTGCTTTGGTCACAGTCTTTATTATAGCAATAGAACGCAAACTAAAATACCTTCTCAACTTCCTACCCTGAAAAAAAAGAAAAACCTGAACAAATAAAAAAAATAACTATCACTCAAGGTGGTGGATCAAACCAGTCATTGCCTTTATTTTATAGTCACTCATATAATCCACATCATCCCATGATAATAATGAGATTAACGTTTAAACAAAGGCAGTATCAGAGAAGGTCAGAGAAAGAAAACATTAGACTATGACAGAAGAACTCTGAGGGTGATAGCAGGAAGTCAGAGCAGCTGCTCACATTACAAAACAATAGGATGCTTGCACAGGTGTGATTATTAGCATATTTATAAGCTGTCTAACCCTAAAGACAAAAATAAATGAAAAGTATTAAATATGAGGGAAAATAAGACAGAAGTAGAAGAAATAATTCTATAAGTATACTGGTTTGAGGGCTGAAGACTCAGCTATCAGTATGTTGTTGTTGCTATTGTTTTAAGACACTAAGTACCTAGCTAGCACAGTGCATTGGTAGCCCACAGCAAGGAGTGTGTGACATTCAATTGCTCCCTTCATGACAGCAAAAAGACATGAAAGGACTGCTCTCTCAGTATTTGCTGTGACTTGCAAAGCCAGCCCTCTATTTTTTATTTTGTTTTGTTTTCTTATAGTTCAAAGATCTGAAGATATTTATGTTTTTTAAATTGCTATATTTTAAACAGCTAAAATGCCATTTCAGCTGAGTGTGGTGGTCCAAGCTCACAATCCCAGCACTTAAGGGGCAGAGATAGGAGGATTGCTGTAAATTTGAACAAGCTTGAGTTGACATAGTGACACACTGTCTGAAAAAGTAAATAGAAAAATAAAGATGGATTAAACTCTTTTATTTTTTACTATTTACATGTCCATGTTCATCACCATGTGGTAGTCAGGGACTTCCAGGGACCTCCATGATAAGAACCCCCATGGCTTTCTTGCAAAGATTAAAAGACTATGAAGCCAAGTACAGAGAGGTATATGGACCCTGTGAAACAGATCCACATAAAAACTGTAAATTTTTTTTAAAATAATGGGGAAAGAATAAGATGGTGAAAGGTTATAAAGGAGATAAATCAATGATATATAGAAAAGGCTTTTACAACTAGACAGGAAGGTTTGGCATATTAATGCACACCTTTGATCCCAGCACTCAAGAGGCAGCAGCAGGCCAATATCTACAATGTTCTACATAGAGAGTATGAGCTATATTCATAGGCCAGTCTGGGGTGTATAGTTAAACTGACTCAAAAACAAAAGCAACAACAAAATCCAAACCAAAACAGCAACAACAAAACTCAAAAATGATTAGGATAGAAGTCATTCATACTTAGAATTTCACATCTTGCCAAGATATCTAACTCTCCTTCCAGTTCTCAGGAAGTTAATGCATGTATCCCTACCAAAGTCTAAGTGAGGGAAGGTACTGATAATTAATAAACCAAAAACCAAAAAGCAAGATCAGTTGCATCTTAATATAGAAAAAGCCTTTAGGAGGTGGGGTCTAGTGGGAGGTAGTTAGGTCTTTAGAAGCATGTCTTTGAAGGGAATGTTGAAATCCCTTCCCCTTCCTGTTACTTTCTATCTACTATACAAGATCATCTTCTCAGCTACATGCTCTCTGCCAGGATATATTCAATGACACAGATGCAAAAGAACAAGCTTGAATGACCGTGGGCTGAAATCTCTGAAACTCTGAACCAAATCAAAAGTTCCTTCTTTATAAGTTAGGCATTTTGTCACAGCTAACACATGGTATCTGACTCAAGAAGGGAAGGGAAGAGAATCCCTGGATAATGGTAAGTGGGGGTCTTAGGATGGTATAAACAGGCAGTTGAAGATAGAAGCAGACATCATATAGAGAATTACCCTCATGCAAATGAGATTCATGAAATGCCTGTGTCTAACTGTACTTAGCAGAGAGATTTTCACAGTTGGCTGAGGTTGGGGGATATCTTACTATAAGGATATGATGAAAGAAGAGCTAGGGGTGGAGCTCTGGTGTAGAGTGCTTGCCCAGCAAGAACAACGCCCTTGTGCAAGGTGGGATGGCAGGGGGGTGGGTGGGGAGAGTGTCAATGCAACTTTCAGGAAAAGTTTGCATGTGAAAGATGCACTAGTCACATGGGCTCTCTATTTACAGGTTGTGCATAGCCATTCAAGATTTGACTAAGCAGAAATGGGTGTGGCATAACATGAGACATTGCTAAACCTGCTTAGTATAATCTGAGCTTCAGAGTGGGACATCAAATAGAAACATAGTTTAAAATTCTGAATGCAAATGCCCAAAGAGCTGATACTGGCAAAGGATGCTTCTTTGAGCCACAATTGAGGAAAGAGAGTAATATAAATCAGTACATCATTAATACTGAGAACAATTTAACTTTTTAAAACCAGTATTTTAAAAAGATTTTTTTGTTTATTTTATGTGTATGGGTGTTTCTCTGCATGGAGGTATGTGCACCAGTGTGTGTAGCCAGTTTAACATATATATATTATGTGCATGGATGTTTTGTCTGCTTGTATGTCTGTGCACTATGTGAATGCCTGGTACTCACAGAAGCCAAAAGAGGGCATCAAGATCCCTTGAAACTAGCATTATAGAGAGTATGAGCTGCCATGTGGGTGCTGGGAATTGAATACAGGTCCACTGGAAGATCAGTCACTCATCCTTAGCCCTTAATTTAGCCTTTTACCACCATGGACTCGTATACATAGACCGATAAAAGAAAACTTCCTTCCTGTTGCAGTTTTAACATATCTGTGTAAAAACATAAAGAGGTTATGTGTGATATGTTGTCAAATAAATGTATGAGTGTGCTCAGGCCAAGATTAGGGGTACTCACAGAACCAAAAGATAAAAGATACACAAATGACTATATGTGATAATCCAAATTCCTGCTTTCAGTAGTCAAAAGATAAAAAACAAACATGAAGTTTCTATCTGGGAGTATTTGACATCTTATGTGGTTTATTTTTTCTCCTTTTTTGTAGAAAGAAGAGAGCTACCCTTTCACATTTGTTTTGTTTTGTGTTTATTGAACATATGCTATCATATCATATAGTTCATATCATAGCAGAAGTATTATGTGCACTAGTGCTTATAATAAACACACACACACACACACACACACACACACACATGCACACACAAAATCATTCAACATTCTTTCAGTAAGTGAAGTCACTTTCTGAAGGCCACTTAGCTAGGATTTGAGTTTGTCAGTAATTCTGATTCTAATGTTCTTTTCGTTCTATTGCTCATTTCCATTCCATTGTCCTTATCAGAGGGATGGAAACCCAGGAGGCAGGAGGAAACTTGTGAGGTAAGATCTAGGGAAGGACAGCTGCTGCGTGGTATGGCCTGCCACAACTTGTTGGAGTGATCAGAAGTAAAAGATTGCTATAGACACATTGAACTAGAACCGCAGGAGCAGTTCGACAGATGCATGAGCCATGATGGGTGGTGATGATGTCAGACATAAGTGACAAATCTGTCGATAAGTTGTAGATCTTAAAGACTTTATGGGATCCACAGGATCTTGTCACAGGAACTAGAATTTATCCATTTTGAATGAATAGTATTAAAACATTTTTAGCCCCCTCTCTGACATACTGCAAAGCCATTTTAGTGAATTAAACTATCATTTCTACTGAAGTTAGGTTGAATTACTTAACAACAT